TTTCCTCTCTGTATTTCCTTCCAGTCGATTAGCAAACATCAGAAACAAAAACCCGAGTACAGCCTGGCTCCTGGCGAAGGGCTGCCCTCCCTGGGCTCCCGGTGTTCTTTAGATGTGCTGTATACTGGTTTTCTTCCCATGTAAGTGCTTTGATCCCTGCCCCTTTTCTATCTCGTAGTCCTATTAGTCAACAGCTGTTTTCCAAATTTCCTAATAAAATAATTAAATTTATCATGTAAAAATTTCTCTTTGCCTTTATTGTGGTGTGACCGTGTTCCAGCTCCCAGAAGATCTCAGTCTCTTAAAAGGCCCTTGGTGGAGAGGCAGTGACAGTGGGGCCAGGAAGGACCATGAGAATAACTTTCCTGCTGTCCCTGTCCCTGAACTCCAGTTACCAATGCAAACAGAGCACTCGAATGTATGGCTTTATCTGCAATTTGAGTTTTGCTTGGAGGTGACAGCTTCATTTAGAGATAGATCAATTTCCCTAATTCATTAAAAATCCTGTTTTATTCACAAAGAATCAATTCAAGCAAAATTTCAGAAACACATCTACTACCAAAATATGGATGATTAAATTTGCTTTAGATTTCCAGCTCCGGGGGCTGTGTACTCTTTGCTGGGAGAGCAGGCTTCCACCCCCGCAGCCAGGCCCTTTCGCATTTCCTCCATGTGCTCGGCCAGCAGGGCACGTTTAGAACTTTGCTGTTGTTGGTTTAGCTCTTGCTTCCCCCTGACTACCCAGAACAATGCCATCGGGCGGTGCTAAATGAGTCAGCGTTGATGCATGTGGTCTTTGTCTTAGTTTTCTTGCACCGGCCTTAGTCCTCACTGGTTCTTTCCAAATAAGTTGCTGTTTGCTTTTCTGCTTCTGTTCGTTTAACCTTGATTGGGGCAGACTGTTAAGACTGAGATTTCTTTTGAACTCATTTCAGATCTTACTCAATAACTTAGACTGAGATGTCTGTTTTGTTTACTTATTTCCATCTTTTAGATCATAAGCCTAGAGAAGCTCTCAGCAGTCATCCAATCTGTGGGCGTCCCTTCCTGATAGGAAAACCATTCTGTGGGGCAGATCTGTTCCTTTTGTGCCTGGAGGAGACTGGTCCTCAGTTATTCCTCGATAACCATCATTCACTTTGAAGATGCAAATTGAAATGCAAATGATATTTTATGATTCAGGCCATGAGCAGTATTTAGAAGGATTTAAATATTTTAGAAGAGCTTGCCTTCTGTTGACAGTGTTCACTGAGAAACTCCTAGCTGTAAACACAGGTCTAAAGGGCTGAGGACAGTTCAGAGACAGAGCAGATCCTGCCGAGGAGTGTTTGGGTGGGATTAATTGTACACAAATAACTATAATCCAAGGCCAAGTGTGACACCTGCCCTGGGCGTTTCCATCAGAGGTGAGAAGACAGGTCTTGAAAACAGGCAGAATGGTTTCACGGCACTGAATCTTGCGGCTCCTGTTCCCTGACTTTTCAGTGTATGTTCTCTCTGTCACACTTAGTCTGTTTTGCACCAGAGGGTGGCAGAGGCTGTAGTCACTGGGATGGGAAGGTCATAATAAACATCGCATCACTGTTTTTGCAATAAGTTTCCTCATCCCTTTGCCACAGCCGTAAGCTTCTCAGAGGGACTAAGTACTGAAAAGAAAAAGATGGGTCACAATTTTAAGAAAATATTTCTGTCATTCAGTTGAGCTCAGCAAATATTTTCATCTGTCAGTCTACTATTTTCACTTGGTCTCAAATCCTTGTAGGTCTTGCCTGTACATTTCCCACCGTAAGGCACACAGACCACGTTTATGCCAGTTATTCAAATAACTAGTGAAGACCCCAATTCACAATTGGGTTGCAGAGAGGAATGTACAAACACTCGCCATATAAGGTGAGATGCAGAATGTGAGCACGCTGAATGTTGTCCCCGTACTTGCAGCCCCCATCCTAACCCCCTCTGCATAGAGCCTGTCTGTTTTCCTTGTGAATTTCACGGTAGCTTCATGTGGTGAGAAGAAGTGTGGACTGTGCTCAGAAGGAGTGAGAGAGATGAATGTGTCAAGGACAGCCAGGAACCGCACCGGCCACCTCATGGACAAACAGCAGCACATTTCTTTCACTGAAACATCAAATATTCATGGCACAGATGCCCCTAAGTCACACTGTCTCCTTAGGCCCTCAGCTCAGCATTCACGCAGACACGTGCTTGGTCAACACTGATCACGCATGACCGAAAGTGTGTATTTGTTTGGGAAGGCTGCCATAACAAAGTAGCATGGACCGGGTGGCTTAAGCAACAGGGATTCATTTTCTCACAGTTCTGGAGGCTGCAAGTCCAAGATCAAGTCCAAGTTCCTCTCCTGGAAGCCCAAGGTCAAGAAGTCAGCAGGCTGCGTCCTCTGCAGCCGGTTTCCTTGGCTTGCAGGTGGCTGTCTTCTTGCTGGGTCCTCACAGGGTCTTCCCTCTGTGACTGTCTGTGTCCTAATTTCCTCTTCTTAGAAGGACACCACTTATATTTGTTTAAGACCCACCTAATGACCTTCTTTTCACTTAATCACCTCTTTATAGATTCTGTCTCTACATATAGTCACATTCCGGGTTTCTGGGAGTTAGGACTTCAGCATACGGATTTGCTGGGAAGTAATCAGCCCATGACAAAAGAGCAACATTTATGTGCTTTTACTAATGACCTATATTCAATATAACATGCCCTTTGCCTTTTATTTTCAATGGTCATTATGGATTTACACTTATCTTTTCTATATCAAATTGTCACCTATCTAACTGAAGACATCGTGTCTCATTGTCCCCCTGTAAGACCTAGCATGATACCTGACACATAAACATTCAGTAACTGTTACTAATTCGCCCACTACCTGGATCCTTTCCTCGCCCATCAGTGTCAGCACTGAGTAGGACAGCTCATTCATCTCGACAGACTCAGGTCTTCTACTTACAGTGACTGAAAACAAGCACACATACCTAGAGCGAGGGACGGGGGCACAAGAGCCTAGGAAGGGCTCCATCCTCCATGCTAGGAGGGACCGCATGTCCAAAATCCTGCTGGTCAATCTTACTTTGTGGGGAAAAGCTGTGAAAGAAAGATGAACGGGTCTCCTCTCCTGATCACTCCGTCCCAGCCAAGAACAGCACCTGACAAATGTGGTTTTAAGGGTGGAGTCTGGGGTGGGAAGGACCAGTCAGAAGGTGGGGCCCCCGGATTAGTCCTCAATGCTGAGAGTAACTAGGGGATGCCGGGTAGCCCGAGGGCACTAGAGACTCAGGGCTCTTGGAGGTGGGAAAAGAAATAGAAACAGGGACAGATGGATGCCAAAACCTACCTTGTCAACTTAGAATTTGGGGAGACTCATCTCACACCCCTTCCTCAAAAGCTATCTTCTGAATTCCAAGTAGGGGGCAAGGAAGAGGCCTTTTGGGAGTCTTATTGGACATGGTTACTCAACTCACGTCTCCTTTGGTTATTTCATTCCATTTGATCAGTTCAACCTGTTTAATCATCATGTTAAGCTCTGCTTAGAGTGACAAAAAAACACCCCAAGTAGGCCTTGTGGGGTTGGTACAAGAATGTCCTTCTTCTGGGAGACAGTCCCAAGGGGCTTGGCGTCCCTCAGTCTCAGCTCCACTGCCCGACCCAGCTGGGAGCCCCCACCTCCTCTCCTCGCCTTGCTGCTAAACCAATAACAAACAGTCAACTAAGAAACTGGAGCCCACAGAGAAGGGCTGGGGCAACTACGGGAAATTAACCACAGGTGTGTGTCGGGAAACATTTTATCATGTCTGTGGACTTCGGAGAACACTAATGGGGTGATTATGAAAGTTGCCCATTTTGATTTTTTTGATTTTGATGCTCATAGTCTCATAAGTGAAGGCTGATTTGTCACTGGAGTGGCAGATATCAGACTTCCATGGTGCTGGTCGTGGCTGGAGCTGAACTTCATCCTCAGGCTCTGGGAGAGCTCGGCTGGAGGACACAGATGCCTAGTGACGGGCATGGCTGCGTGGAAGGCACATGTGAACTATAGAGCTGGTGGGCAGAGGAGCGCATGGGACCCACGGCCTCCATTTACATTGCCTTGCGGGGTAATTCTCAGCAATGGGGCCAGGGCAGTCATGATCATCATGCAATAGATGGAAAATGAGGAAACAAAAAGTGACCAACATAAATGATGTGCCTAAAAGAGACCATGCTCTTATGACCTTGGTCATGACCACATGGCCACCCAGGGTCTGTACGAATATTCACACACTCAGACTTCAGCTGCTCAGACTCTATCAAAGGAGAGATTTGGGAAAGTTTAGTTTATGACCTTAAAGTACTAAGACTGAGGATGTCCCCCTAAGTCCCCTGCTTCTTGATAAACTCACAAGGGATTAATCACACACTAGTTTACCTACATGACAATTTACCTAGATTTGAGAAGGTACCGAGGATTGAACCCAGGACCTCATGCATGCTAAGCATGTGCTCTACCACTTGAGCTATGTCCTCCCCCCAGAAAGACTGTTTAGAGACTGGAAAGAGGAAAGCGATGGCTCTTTGAGGCTGACTTAATGTAATGTATTAAGATAATAGTTGCTTTGTGTGTACAAAGATGCCCAGCCAATAGTGAAAACAGGACACAAATAGACACAAAGTTAGAGGCATTTCGAGAATGTGGAACGTGAGCTATTGACTCAGTTTTTCTGAGAACATGATTCGAACAGTAATTGACAAAGAAGACAGAATATTTATTATTTTGGTTGGTGTTTATTAAATGCAGTCAGGATCACAGGAATCCCAGAAATGTGAGATTCCCATGGATTAGCAATAAGGATCCAATCATGCTTGTGACTTAGAAGTCAAAGTGGAGCAGACAGAAAGGGAGGGGGGAAATCTGACCTAAAGTGTGGTTACCCGCCGCACCTGCTGCACCTGCCCAGAGGCGGGTGGCCCCCTAGTGGCAGCACTGCTTCCTGCAGCAGCACTTCTGCTGGCAGCACCTCTGCTGACAGCAGCCCTTCCCGCAGCCGCAGTCACACGAGTGGCAGCGGCAGGTGCGGCGGTGGCAGCAGACCACGGGGGTGCTGCAGCAGCCCCCACAGCAGCCGGAGCAGCAGGGGCAGCAGCCGGAGCAGCAGCCCACCCGGTAGCACCTGCACGTGGTGCAGCTGTCACAGCCGCCACAGCCACCACCGCAGCCACCGCCGCAGCCACCACTGCAGCCACCACAACCACAGCCACCACCGCAGCCACCACAGCCACCACCACAGCCACCACCGCAGCCACCGCAGCCACCACAACCACCACAACCACAGCAGCCCATGGTGTCAGTAGAGAGGACTCAGGAGAGGTGAGGATGGAGTTTTAGGAGGTGAAGGGGGTCTGATGCCACCTTCTACTGGGGGGGCCCTTATATACTGACTCTGGGGACGGGAGGGCAGGCACGTGACCACTTCCCTGTTGCTATTTGGCTTAATTGACATGGAAGAATCCATCATCTCTTACTTACTTCCCTTTTAGACTTCTTTGTCTTCAAGATATTTCAGTTTTGTTCATTTTTGCATAAAACTATATTCCAAAGCAATCTGAAAAGGACTAAAATTTCTAGGGAAACATTTTGGGAACCAGGCTGTCAACAGGAAGGGGCCGATGTCTCCCCGTGATGCCCAGGGAACATTCCTATGTGTGTGAGCTTGCAGATCAGACCCATCACTGGGCAGCCCCTAGGCTGGGCGATCCATGAGCTTCCAGGGGAGTTGGTACAAGTGAAGTTTAAGGTACAATCCCTGACTTCAAAGAGTTTGTAATCAAGTGACCTTGGGAGCTAAGGATGTGAAAATAACCACAGACTCAAAGGCCACTGCTGAGGCCAGATGCCATCCTTGTGCATCTCAACCAGTGGGGACTGCCAAGGCTGGAAACTTACTCCCTAACTCTTCATTCTAAGCATACCATTGTGATTTGTCTTCTCACACTGAATTGTAATGATTATTTTATTTTATTTTATTTTTGGAGAATAAAAATGAATATTTACTAAATCACTGGATAAAGAAGAACTTTCTAAGCTTCCCAACAGTGAGGAAGAAATTACAGAGAAAAATGTACATAGATCTGCCTACCTAAAAATTAAGATTCATATATATTTAAAAATTATATTTCCATTGTTTTATACTTCTTAAATTTTTTATATTATCTTTTATTAAAGTATAGTCAGTTTACAATATTGTGTCAATTTCTAGTGTATGCAATGTTTTAGTCATACATGTATATACACATATTCCTTTTCATATTCTATTTCATTACCAGTTACTACAAGGTATTAAATACAGTTCCTTGTGCTAGATCATAGAAACTTGTTGTTTATCTATTTTATATATAGCAGTTAGTATCTGCAAATCTTGAACTTCCAATTTATCCCTCTGTACTTCCTTTCTCCCCAGTAATCAAACATTTGTTTTTCTCTGTCTGTGAGTCTATTTCTGCTTTGTAAATAAGTTCATTTATGTCATTTTTTAAGATTCCACTTATAAGTGATATCATATGGTATTTTTCTTTCTCTTTCTGGCTTACTTCACTTAGTATGATGATCTCCAGGTCCATCTATGTTGCTGCAAATGGCATTATTTTATTCTTTTTTATGGCTGAATAGTATTCCATTGTGCGTGTGTGTATGTGTGTATATGTATACATATATATCACAACTTCTTTATCCAGTCATCTGTTGATGGACATTTAGGTTGTATCCATGTCTTCGCTATTGTGAATAGTGCTGCTATGAGAACGGGGGGTGCATGAATCTTTTCCAATTAGAGCTTCCTCTGGATATATACCCAGGAGTGCTATTGCTGGATCATATGGGAAGACTTATTGTGTTGTTTTTTTTACTGAAGTATGGTCGGTTTACAATGTTGTATTAATTTCTGGTGTACAGCATAGTGATTCAGTTATACATTCAAATATATGTATATTCCCTTTCACATTCTTTTTCATTATACGCTATGTAATGATTATTTTAAAATAAATCCTTTGAAGTGTCTGCATTTTAAAGATGTAGTTCTTGGTGTGTTTAGCTTTGGATGAGGAACTAATTTTAGTCTTTGATTATATGACATCAGTTGATGTCTGAGAGAAGCACCCCAAGCCCGACCCAGGGGCCTTTGAGAGCAGGGCAGTACCCCAAGTAGTGCAGGCGCAGAGGCCAGGGAAGCAGGGGTCATAGGGAAGAAGGAGACCATGGCTATGAGCTGACGCATGTAGCTGTGGATGCTGGTGGGATTTGAGGGTTGGTGACCAATTTGGAGGCTGTAAAAACACATGGCAGGAAAAATTATAGTGTGAATAGACTCCTTTATCACACAAGCTGATGTAGGAGCGTCTCTGTCCATCCCTGAGAGTTCAGAGACTTTGGTGGGGATATTTGGAGGCTGATTTTCCCCCAAGCTTCAATTGTTACAGTCTTGTGGCTCAGAGCCTGTTTTACTGATCTGGTAAGATTGTTCTCCAGGAATTTGAATGAGAGGAAATGCTGTAATGTCCTTAGGGCTGATTAATGGTGTTATTAATGATCCCAAATCGCTTCTGTGGCATGTGGACCAGAGAACACTTCTGCTTGAACCGGGGTGAGGGGTGCGGTGGAGCAGAGATGTATGAATAGGGGTGAGAGCTTCTAAAGAGGCAGAATCAACAGAACTTGGTGAATGCCTCGCTATGGGCGGAATTTAGGAAAGGAGTCAGGGATGCCTTTTGTAATGGATGGCCACCTTGAGAGGCGAGGAAGAGTGGAGGAGAGATTTGCCTTTTTTTTAGCAGAGCTGGTGACTGGGCAGGGAAGATTATGACTTGAGTCAGGGGCAAGTGACTTGGAGGTGCCCCTGAGATACCTGTGGGGAGAAGCTGGAGTGTGAGTTGGCTGAATGTAGATTTGGAGTATGAAGAACATTCTAAGCAGGAGGTGCGCATTCAAGGAATGAATCCAAGAATATACATGTAGACATTGAAACCAGGGGTGTGGACGTGAGCTTAGAGAGATAGTGTGGAGTGAGAGAGGGGAGGATTAGATCAAGGCTTTTAATAGACAACTTTGGAGGGTAAAAAAAAAGAGGGTCATTTAGTTTAAAAATAATTTTGGAAATATACCTGTGAACGTGTAACTTCACAAGAACTAAAATGGCCAATTTAATGAGGAGGAGGGTATACAGTAGTAACAGATGGGAAAATTTTGAAAAAGAGTGACTTGTTCAATTTGGATATTCATATTTATTCATCTGCATCTCAAAGTTTCTGTTAAAGCAGAGTGATTTCAACTGAATATTTGGAGAGAAAAGCCATTGAAGAGAAACAGAACCAGAGCTGGTAGCAATCCAGTGCCTTCTTATTACAAAATCTCAGATTCCATCGCATTTCTGTGAAAATAAAGATTCCCTCCAAAATGTTAGCATTTCTTGGTTTGTTTCTAAAATGGCTTTAAAGAGAGAAGCTAAAATTAGCAAGTGTATTGGGTCAAATATAGTCCATAAGGATGTAAACAAGGAATCACCGGAGACGACCCCAGGTGGAAACTGCTATGGCAGCAATGAGGAAGTGACTACTGGTCATGAGTCCTGGGTCACTGCCTCTCCCTGTCCCCAAGTTGGTATATAAGGCCCCCCCAGCAGAGGGCAGCATCAGACCTCCCTCACCTCCTGAGTCCCCATCCTCCCCTCTCCTGGGTCCTGTCTACTGACACCATGGGCTGCTGTGGTTGTGGTGGTTGTGGTGGTTGTGGTGGCTGTGGTGGCTGTGGTGGTGGCTGCGGTGGTGGCTGCGGTGGCTGCGGCGGTGGCTGTGGCGGCGGCTGGTGGCGGCTGTGACGCTGCACCACGTGCAGGTGCTACCGGGTGGGCTGCTGCTCCGGCTGCTGCCCTGCTGCTCCG